TATATACACCTGTGTACTGACATAACACAGAATGTGTTAACAATATATTTACAACTAACCAACAATTAATCTACATATAATTTAATATAAACTTATATAATTTCAAGTATTCTTTCTATGGAACATATTTTGCGTAAATACCGTATCAATAGAGAATAGAAATCACTTTGTTGAAACACTAATAGGTGTTTCGCAAAATCAAACCGCAAGTGAACCTGTTCACAGCAGATTAAAAACCTATTAACTGCATAATCTACGATAAGCAATTTCCCAATACAATTAAATGAATCTCGAGAACTCATTTTTAAATTGAATTTTCTAAATTCCAATTTCAAATTTACTATCGTTGACAATGAATGTCACTCACAGTTTGAATTTGGAAAAAAAACAAAAGATACTTGTTATTATTGTAAGTTTTTATACTTAAGACTATAAAATGATTTAGTTATACGATGTAGTCATTTGAAAATTGTTATGAGTTTATTGTGCTAACTTTTACAATCTAAATTTAATGGAATTCTGTTAGTAATGTAACAAATGATTATTGAGCAAAAAATGTAAGTAATGGGTGTCCAAACCAACCATATTCGTCTTAAATATGAAAAAATACATTCCTGCTTATATATACAATGTTTGACAACATTGAAGTTTAATAATATTTTTAATTAAGAAGCCTTTGGCATTTCTATAAATTATTTAATATGTAAGTTTTTAGTTCAAAAATTAATTTTACTTTAATAAATTATTAACATAAGAGATAAATTTTCGGACTCAAATACTTTTAAATGTTGTCATGTGATTTGAATATTTAATCAGGTTATAAGTAAAATTACCTCTAAGCCGAGTTTAATGAGGCTAACCACATCGTTAAGGATAATTAAGACAAAGTAAGAAACCTTAATCGACGGATTTAATAAATTACAGATTGCAAACTATTTAGTGGGCAACATAATTAGGTGTCTTATTATATTTGAACAGTCATCCCAAATTCAAATTTAGATAATAATTTAAATATAGAATACATTTCATAGAGTTTTTTGGCCTACCTTATTTTTAATAACACAAACATACACGAACATTATACGGCAAATAAAAAAATAACAAACAAATCTATCATGCCAAATGCAGGAATCTGATCTTTTTGCATTTCTTACGTGTACTTTCGAAACATTTTTTACTTTTGACTTGCAATAGGTAGTTTTTATATTTATTTGATAACATATATACTAATTTAGCTTATCAAGACGAGCAGTTATTGTTTGAGTGTAGGTAGGAACCAATTGACCATATCTAAGTTGCCGTAACAGTAAGTTATCGTTTACATTATTTTGTCCTTTCTTAATAATGCATGTGTTATTTAACAAAATCACTCTATATTAAATCACACACAGTTTTACATTTCAAGAATAAAATCTAAAAATTGATAAAAATCGCACTTGCCTGTGAAAGGTCACTCGGCGCCTCCGACTTGACCGTGTTGGCCGCAGCCCAAGCTTCAGCGAATGTCTCCATTGCACTCTGAAAGTCCATTTTTTTTCGAGTCACGACATCAACATACCGAAACTGTCACTCATGTGTTCGATCCGGCGTAGCCCTACACACGTGCGTTCGTGCCGGCCGGCGGCGCGCGACTGGCTCGGCCCCGCCCAGCGAACCGCCCGCGTCGAGAAAAACCGATACCACCACAGCCTCCCGTTTCAGCGCTTTTCTTTTTAAGCCGATATTTTAACGAGTTTCTTTTTTTTTCATAAAGCCCGGCCCACGGTGGTTGGGCGGCCTTTGGATTATTTACACTTGTAATTCACAGATCGCTACTGTACTTAATTTGTTTCGCTGGGAGGGTGTTAGGCGTTATCTTGTAACGATTATGCGACGCGCTGATAGGTGTCTTTTTTGCGAGGCGCATCACGGTCACGATATGAATTAAAATTAACTAGGTACCACTGAATTTCTAGCCGACTGCGTCAATCTTTATTCATTTCAACCAATATACCCAATGGTAATAGACTGTACGTCGTTCAATTTGCATACTAATTTTGAATTATTATTACTAGCCATAAAAATCGCTAATTGTGGTATCCGAGCAGACGGTACGAAGCATTTTTATTCATTAAATAAATCACCCCCATTTCCCGACTGCTCTGTTCTCAAGAAAAAAATTGTCACGGCTTCCTATAATTTTGTACGTGGCCGTTTAAACGGTATTACCTTCCGGCAAGCGGCATTTTATCTTAATTTCTATAGCTTCTGCCATTACAGGTAAGCTCTGGGGAAATATAATGAGAAAATCGCGCGAATACAACATACACAAAGCAGTGCAGCCTTTATAATATATGTGCTTATTTAAAAAAATAATTATTAAATAATATATGATCTATAATATATGAAAAACCCTTCTTTTTTAGGTATTGTTAAAGTATCGTAAAATTTAAATACACAATCATAAAGCGACAAAGATTTAGTCTATGCATGTCATATTACTATTTCTAAAATTTTAATTTAAAAAATAGTAAGGTATTTATTCATTTGACACAGAATGATAAAATTCTTTATTTATCTCACCATGTTATATTTTATTAAAATGATTATCAAATAATTTTTTAACTATGTGTATAAATGTATGTACGTTTACATGTTTTATTATACAATTATAACGATTCAATATATATATAAATAACACACAATAATTTCAATTAAAATGCCCTCAAAGCACCTTTTCACATTTAACAAGATTATTCTAAATCCACAGCTTATCTCAATTGTACACAAAAGTATAATGAAATGTTTACAGTATTTAGATAATCAACACAATAATACAACCGTTATAGCTTCGTAGAACAAGTAGGTCGCTTTATATCGACCGACTGGTAACAAAGATGTTACCCGGCCCGGATAAAACGTAGTCCCTAGAAAACAATTGCTAACCGGGTATACAGTTTAATCGTTTTATTACTTTTATAATGTACTTTCTTAAACATTTAAGTTTGACCACGTTGAATATCGTGGTAAAATCTAATTTTCGATTGTACGAAAATCCCATGTGCAATTATTGAGAAATAATTCGGATTAAATTTATTCAGTGTTCATATAAATTGTTAAATCTCGAATCGATTTTCAATAGTGCAAAACATATTTCTGTATATTTTTCTTTCTTAATTTAACAATTGATAAACGCATGCTTGTAATATTTTCATACAAAATAATAATAATATTTAAACAAATCAGTCGATCCGTAATCATGCAGCATAGCTCTCGGGATTACTTTACTCATTTAATTTATACACATTTGAACAACTTCAAATTATTAATAGTAATATTTTATTTTTATGGGGATTAAGTAAAGTTAATCCCGAATCTCTTAAATTAAATTTTACACAGTAAGACGAGACAAACGGACCGGATAACGGACAGAGGTGTGTACCTACTAAGTTTTCAAAGGTACCCATTTTTTATAATATGTATGTATAGTTATATTGTGAAATCTCTTAGATTTCAAACGATAAACTATAAGATATACGTAAATTAAACAGAATTGTTTTAGCTATGGCTCATCATTTTAGCGGCTACTTTGTCTCAAACAATTTCTTGTATACCTATATATGCTATACACGTATTGTTTATGCATATGCAATACATAATACAATAGCTTTACTTAACTTTTTTAGATATGTCTATTTCAATGTCGATCCAGACTTTTTTCAACGCGTTTCTTAATTCATTAACCGCACTAAAATTATCACGTCTTCTTCAAAACAGTTTTTTACAAAAATATGTAATTCGGTTTTATTTATTTTCATTGCGAAAGAAGGTATACCACTTGATTAAACTACTGTTAATTTTTACTAAATCTTATAAATCGGGGATTATTTTATAATAAATATGAATTATTTAGTCGTTAGCAAGACAGACGATCCGGTTGTATTAAAAAAAAGTTCTTAAAAAGATCTATTACAGTTTCTCCTATTTTCTTCACGTTCACAAGTTTCTAATCAATTGAATTGTTATTATTAAGTCCTCAAAGAACTAAACACTAACTTGTAACTGTTCAAATTAGCACCTTCTACGAATTAGTGAGCACAAATAGTCGACTCGCAGTGACGAATTTAAGGCATATTAACCGGTTATTTTCCAATATATATAGTTAAGATTTTTATAGTTGTACTAGTGGACCCCACAGACGTTGTCCTGCATGATATTTAAAGCGATTAGGATATTAAGCAAAGTATGAAAGTACCGACTGCAGTGCCATCTGCCGGGCTGATTTGTGAATCTAAACCATTCCCAGATCCCCTTGAACACACACAAAAAATTTCATCAAAATCGGTCCAGTCGTTTGAGAGGAGTTCAGTCACATACACACGCACAGAAGAAATATATATATTAAGATAAGTATTTCGTCACCATTATGTAAAACAATGGGTTTATCATGATTTCACTAATTCTTATGTTTACATACGACAAAGTAAATGTAAAGTTCGTTGAATTTATTAGCAACAATAAATAGATATGTGTTAAATATTCACAACAATTTACACAAACATTTTCCTTAATAACTGAGCGAGGTTGTGCTATTTTGAGATTCTTGCTCAAGCCTCATTGGCGATAGAAAAGCCTTTTGACATTAAAAATTTCAATTAAGTTACAGAAGGCTCAAGAGTTGAGTATGGCAGCCACTTTTCTTGATCTGTTATTTTTATGTTAACTACCCGAAGGAATTACTGTTCCGCCGGAATAAAACTAAAACTTCCGGGCCATACACGTGACTGGTGAGCTTTAACCAAACATACCGTATATGATTAATTACAGGTTATTTTTTGCCTTTATTGTATGATAAGCACCACAACAAACCGACTTTAGAAGCACACAAACTATGTGAAGACCACAAAAAAATAGAAGCATTACTACAGGACCCGGCACACGCTTTACATAAGCCCTCCTCCTGAAAATCCACTGAAACTGGATTACATAAAACTCCTATAGCCTAATCCGCCTATATCCGAATGCCAATAGCGTTCGCTAGGCGTCGACATTCGCTAAAGCCTCCTCCAATGCCGGCCGGGGTTAGGTTTATCCGTTATCCGCGCAGATTAGGCGCGAGCCGGCGGGGCGGGTTGGAGCCACGCCCACCGGTCGATGGCTCGCTAGTCGCTCGGCTCACTTGGCTGATGGCATTGTGCCGTTATCTGCGGGAGACGCAGCACGCTCATCCGGCACTCGCAGATAAGCAACGGTGAAGTATGACGTCACCTATAACTAAGAGCAGACTGTACGTCGCATTGTTGGGAGACGATCGCTCATTCTGAAATTTCTGATTTTACTTGTAATGTTTATGTAATTGAAGCTCTTAAATGATAATTAAAAGCCTCCATATCCCTTTATAGTTTAACTTAAATTGGTCGTAACGTCAGTGTACAAACAAAACTTAATAAATAAGAACAAGTATCCTAAATGACCTAAATAGTACATAAACATTTAATCAAAATTGTAAAAACTAATCAACACTCTAATTTTAACTCGCTTGCTAACCTTGTAAGGAGCAAATTGAACTAATATTGTGTAACCGGTGGTACTCGTAATATTCGAGTATCGAAATAGGTGGCTTTGTATGCTTTTAGTAATGAAAGGAACATTTATTTGATTGAAAAACATTTTAGAATAATTTATCTCGATTTTTCAAGTATTAACGATGTAGATTTATTTATAGTTTATAAAAAAGGAGTTTATAGTAGTATGATGGAAACAATATATAGTTTTTCTGTCAAATAATATGTTAACGCTACAAAATTTAAATGGTGGGCACTACGAAGATACATTATAAGAAAACCAAGCCATTGAGATATAATTTATAAAAGTAATAATTGGCAATCAAGACCACCCACTCGATAGGTACAAGAAGTGAAAGATAAGTTTAACTAACTTAATCTCAAATTCGGAGAAACGTTTGATAACTCATATTAATTCAGAGTTCAACGTAAGTATTGTAACTATTTACAGTAAGTAGCTTTAAATATGTAGATATTGAAACAAATATATAGAAAAAACTGTTAATATAAAAATATCGATGTTCTTTAGTTTACCTTCAGTGGAGGCCGGGAGTTGGGGACGGGAGGATGGGAGGGCCTCCTTGGAATTTGTTATCTCGACAAGTAATACGATGGAGATTAATTTGTGCGACCTTACACTGATCGCGTATTCACTTTGAATGTATAGAGAAAATTTTAGCTTTAATTTACATATTTTGTATAATTAATCTTAAATATTAATAGATTGCGGTTATAAATTGTCTTCTGTTCCTTTTATCAAGAGAGAATTATCAAGTGTAAGTTGCAAGATGTGACTATTTGACAATATATTATATACATGGAGTACCTCATAACGTCAATTTCTTGTTTCAATGAAACCGTAATTTATTATATGACAGACAAACTAAACACAAATAAATGTATTGCAAAATAATATGTATTTTTTAAATTTTTATGAATTAGCGTTTTTATCCATTAAAGTATTTTATTTTATTAATACTTTGCATATATTCTAGGTATATTTAACATATAACTCCTGAAGGCTTTAAACGATTGCTTCTGACCGTTAGTTTCTTCTACAACTTCAAACGATTATCCCAGTGTAATGATAAAAATTTCTAGTTAATTTGAAACGGGCGAAAAAAACGTAGCCGATTGTGCGTCAAAAACCAATTTGAAGATCGATAGTGGATCGAAATCGGGCTTTAGAATGCGATGAATTTGACAAGTCACTATTTTTTTTATTTAATAGATAATCTGGTCTCCTTACCCCACTCGATCAATCTTATCAAAGGGATAAATTGAATTTAAAATGTCCTATCACGCAGTACATTAAAACTAAGTAACTTTCGACTTTAAATTATTTGAAATAAGGAATATATTTAAGTGTAAGGTCCTAATGGAGTTGCCCTATGATGGGTAAATGCGCAGGATCATCGCTGGATTCCACGAAATTCGCCTCGCGTGAATACCTGACTTTACAGGTACGTTTATGGACTTGGAACTTTTAGACAGGATTTCTGTGATACCATATCGACACGTTCATTTCAAACGTTTCATGTGGCATGTGGAATTTAATTAACAGATTGGCAAAGCGTTCGAAATATGAAATAATTCGCGCTCCGTTTTGCGTGGTATTCTTTTTAAAAATATAAAAACTTTTTATGAATATTTACGAGTAAATATTAAAAGGTTTAGGCTGGATTGTATAAAATCGAAAATCGTTTGTAGTTCTATTACAATTTTCTATGGATAGGTTTTGTCAACTTTCTAAATGTGTATAACTAGGTGAGCTCTGGCTTCTTCTTTTCCTTAATAAAATCCTTCTTCTACATTAACACCTCTTAACCACATCCTTTCCAACAGTTCAATCGTGACTTCTGCAATTATATTTATTTTTTTGTAATTGTAAGTATATTGTTTGTTGTATTTGAGATCCTAGCATTAATTGTGATTAATGAAAAAGACTAGCTTTCTTTTATTTTTTTTAGATGTTAGTTTCGTAATAGTATAGTTACCTGTAATTTTCTTTTTTTTATTTAGTTACGTACTTTTTGCACTTTACCCTAATTACTGTTTCCTTACTAGGGTTACCTGGAAGATATCACTTGTTAGCGATAAATCCGCTTTTAATAATTTATCTGATTGTATATGTATTAATGCAACAAATTGTTAGTAAATAAATAATTATTGTTTCAAATATTCTTGTAATATGAATAGCCTATGTTACTCGAGATAATGTAGTCTGATGGCAAAAGAACTTGTGTCCAGTACTTTTTGTGTTCATTTTTTTTATAATAAATATTATTATAGATATGGGAGAAGTACCAATGCTTATTATTGCTATTACTCGTATCAAAGGTTATATTAAACCTCAACCTATAGTCTATAACAACATAGCTCTATGGCGTTATGACTTGCTGTTTACAAGATCCCGATGACTGTTGATCCTATCCCGATTCCCTTAGCAAACCCACTGACCGCGCCAATATCTCACCTATAATTGTCTATTTATTTAAGTGGGATTATGTCTTCGTGGAACTGTAGGTAGAAGTTTGCTTAATATTACAAAAGGTCACTTAAATTTAATTGATTTTGAAAATGAAGATTATATTGCTCGTGTATTGTTATAATGTGACTTGTGTTTCTAATGCAAGTTTATTTATAATATTTAGTTTCTGATAATTTACTTGGCTATGCTTCCTTATAGCTAGGGAGCTGGCGAACATTTAAGTATATGATTTGCTTATATTGCGTAGGAATTAAAGTACAAAATTTTCTTAATGAATTAAGGTCGTATGTTGCTGCGTGTTAATGGTACATGGGTTTAAATCTGTAAAAAAATTGACACTAAATAATTTGCTCGTGTCTGTCTCTGCCCTCTGGGGTTAATGGTCAATACCATTCAGATAACGAAAAAAGCTATAAGGCAGACATCCAGGGCATTATCACAGGAGACAGATGTAAAAATTTAAAAAGAAGCTCTACTAAAGCTAAAGCTCGTAGCTGTATTGAGTCCATTCGATTAATCCTCCTCATCCTGAATATATGAAATTTTGTAGACATTTTACTTACTGGAGTCTGCCAAATGAGAATGATTTTTTTGATCCAATGCCGCAACAGAACCGCGGTACAGAGTTTGTACAATTTAAGTAGTAGTCAAAACAACTACTCTCGCGAGCCCTCATTGAGAGTGTCCATGGGCGGCGGTATTACTTAACATCAGAAGAGCCTCCTGCCTGTTTGTCTCCTATTACATAAAAAAAACAAAATAATTATGGTAGCCGTATAACAAAAAAATAACAACTAGATTGATTCTAATAAATTAAGGCTCGTTTATCGACGTCTTTAACCACGACCGTGATTATGAAACTCTTAATCTTTAACTATACTAACTTATTAGATAAATATTGATTCTATAAATCTTTCAATACACCCTCAATAAAATATGTGTATCCAAATTGAAATATTTCACAATTCTGAATACCTTACCTAAATTACATTCCGAATATCACTTTCCCAACACACGAGTATAAAAGAAAGTCCATTCGGGTATCCTCATATCTCGAAATTATGTCGCATCTGTGTCTCGGCTTGGAAAATAAAGTTTCGTTTAAAAGCTATTCGTATGTAGGAATGAGTACTCGTAAAATGTATTAAACGTATTGCAAATAGAAAATGTTTTTCGTATTCGATGTTATTTACGTAACGTCTCAGATAATACCAGACGAAATGAGTTTCGTTCACTTCATTGCTTTTTTATAAACAATTTATAAAGAAATAGCGCTCAGATTTTTTATACATGCACGCTCGCGGTATAATTTGTGGACTGATTTGATTACGTATATATTAACCAACTCAGGTGTACCAAAACCGAGCGTGATTTGCGCAAAATGTTTCGTTTGTATACTACAAAATACTTTTGCAATCGAATAAAGTAGTTTTATACTTTATTTGATTACTAATAGGTACTACTAAGGTAAACATTTAAAGTTAAAGTATGTTCATTTAAATAAAATAGTAGAATAATTTAATAATTCCATTGTTTTTCAGTCTTACTAATAGAGTATTAAATTATTTATTTAAAAACACAGAAATTTATGTGACGGAACTCAAATTGGTCACAATTTCTCCGGCCACCGAATTGTCGACATTCCTTCATTAACTACTAATTTCTTTAAATCAATTTTTAAAGAAAATTAAACAGGACATGATAATGGGCAAAATAGTAGCGGAAAACAGAATTTTCGACAAGAAGAATCTTAATTCGTCAAAATCTTTTTATGCTCGATCCTCTATTTTCTCCAACGTCTGTTTTTATAAAAGTCTTTAAAATACTTTTCCTTGGTCTCATGATCACCAAGTCAGAATCATGGGAATACGAGAAACACTTGAAGCAAGTATTTGTTCATTTTCGGATATCCCAATTCGCTGACGTTCAACTAATGATAGAGGCTATACCTACCTACGTTATGATGTGGTAGATAATGAAGTCTTTTATTAAAGAAATTTTCTACATAAGGAAGAATGTAATATAGATACAAAAAATTAGATTTGTAAAAAGACAAGTTATTTGTGTATAAATTTAGACTAAACTTTGCATTGTTTGTTAAAGTAATTCACCCGTACCCGTAATTACATACAAAAAACAAATTGCAATAGAAAATAAATACCTTTTCGTATGGAAAACTGAAACTCTTTGGTATTTAAAA